CATGAGACAAAGTATATGTGAACTGCTGTATGAAAAGTGAATTTACTCTGTAAATCTTCACCCAAATCAAAAAAAAAAAAAAAAAAAAACTCACAGAGCATTTGATCTAGCAGAAGAGAAGTCAGAAAAAGAAATTATGCATTGCCTTTCTCATTCCTAGCAAAAACTGGTATTATTCAGTTTACTGAAAGATTTCATGTTTTTCCTTTCAAATATCATGCTCATGTTAGAATCTAAACTTCTGAAGAGGTAACCAGAGCATTTTGAGCAAGCACCATTTTTTTCTTTCTGTTGTTTAATTTTTGCTGCTCAAATTCCTGATGTTAGGCAAAATAATTTAGGAATACTGCTCTCTTTTCACCTCAGTAAATTTCTATAATGCATTATAAAGCAGAGGAATATTGCTGAAATTAAAAGGCTTGGATGAGGCATCAAATAAGTTTCTGATATGAAACATTCTATATCATAAACATAAATACATATAACTAACATAATAATTTGATATGGTGAAAATTTGCTATAGTAAATTATCTCTTAATTCTTACCTACAGGCTATACATTAAACTAATTTAATTAATTAAATTTAATTCAATATATATTTACTGAGAAATTTTTCAATGCAAACCACTATGTGTAGGTATTTAAACACATTTTGAAAAAGGGTCCTATGTTCCAGCAAGTGTTTATATACTAGTTTACCATACATATGTTATCTGGCAATGTGCTCATAAATAATTAATTCCTACCCCTTTGGTTTTTTGACTTCTTAGAATTGAGAAGGCGTTTATGGAATAATTTAGATAACTCAGCTCTCTCAAAAAGGTTATCTGAGGTCCTTGGAATTTATCTCAATAAATTTCTCTTTAATGAGTAGTTGTTCAAAGTCATTAGTTTCCCTACAGCCAATGTTTAATAATCTTTTAATGACTCTCTGATCATCTCTTATAAAATTGCTAAAACAAGCATAGAATGCTATTTTTTACCTTCAGCTGTAATAGGAATAAAAGCCATTAAATATAAAATTAAGTCAGGAACACTGTGATTAGGGGGTAGCATGTCCAAATAAAAATCATTATTTAAAAAGCCCTAAGATATACCTTCAGTAATAAATTAGGGGAGTACACAAAATAAATTTACAAACTTATCTGTATCCTTTGATTTAAGATAAGTTTTTTTTCCCCTTAATTAAAACAAAAAGCAGACAAACAATAGAACTTCTTCTCATTTTAAGCCATCATACTGTTAGAGTGATCATTTGTCTTTATGGAGGACCAACATTAAAAAAAAAAAAAAAAAAAAGTGTTCTTTGCTATTAGGAACTATTTTCTTTTGCCAGTTTACATTTATTTAATTTAATTTCTGTAGGGAAAAGCTCATTCCTTTGCATATGTTTAATTTACTCTGATTTTACAGTGAATTAAAAATTGGCCTTGGATGTTTCTGACTACCACAGTACTCATTAGCATGCTGGAAGCCAATTAATTCACCTGATAACATAATTTGCCATACATTATGTGCATTAATCATAGTTGAAAGAAAATCAGACTATAGTACAAGGAACCTACATCAAAAAAATATATTACTCCATACCCACTAAGATGGCTATAAATCAGAAAACTGGAAAATAACAAATATTAGTGAGGATGTAGAGAAATTGGAACCTTTATGTGTTGCTGATAGAAATATAAAATGATGTAATTGCTGTGGAAAACAGTTCAGCAGTTACTCACAAAGTTAAACGTAATCATTGAAAAAAAACTTACTGCCACGGAGTTGGATCCAACTCATAGCGACTTCTACTTGGTTTTCCGAGGTGTTATCACTATAGAAGTAGATTGCCCAATCTTTCTTCCAAGGAGTGACTAGTGGGTTTGAACCACCAGCCCTCTGGTTAGCAGTCAAATGCCTTAGGTGTCATATGACCCAGTAATTCCATTCCTAGGTATATACCCCAAAGACTTTAAAGCAAGGACTCAAACAAATATTTGTATAACAAAGTTTACTGCAGCTTTATTCACAATAACTGAAGGGGTGGAAACAATCCAAGAGTCCATCAACAGATGAATGGGTAAACAAAATGTGATATATACTTATAATGGAATATTATTCAGCCATAAGTGGAAATGAAATTCTGATACATGCTACAACATGGAGAAACCTTAAAAACATGTTGAGTAAAATAAATCAGACGCTAAAAGAACAAACAGTGAGTATATAATCCCACTTATATGATTTATCTAGAATAGGCAAATTTATAGAGACAAGTTTATGCAGGGTTACTAGGGTTCGGAATGGAGGGGGAGTGGGAATTATTGCTTATAAGGTACTGAGTTTCTGTTTGGGGTGATGAAAAACTGTGGAACTAGATAGTGGTGATGGTTACACAACATGGTGAAAGTACTTAATGTCACTGAAATAAGGGTTCAAATGGAAACTTTGTTATTTATATTTTATCACAGTAAAAAATGTGTGTGTATGTGTTTATTACTGTCTTTGCTGTTTAATAGGCTTGTGCCCCTTTATATCACTGGAGAACTCTTAAACCGACACCAGAAAAGGATCCTGTTGGTACTTGCTATGTAGCAATTCAGAATTTCAGTGCATATGCTGAATACTCTCCTTGTCGAAACAGTAAGTTGTTTTTATTTTTTGAAACTGAAATTTAACTTAAGAGCATGGCTGTTACAGATAGGAGTGCAGTTAAGCTTAAAACATAATGTTGCATAGAAAAGGAGATGGGGTAAAAGTTACTGACAGTCTTATAAAATGTCTTGCTCTGACATAAGGGTAGTCACAGAATTCTGTCGATCTTCTTTTGTGCTTTGGAAAATTCTTGTTTTCAGATACTCTTACTGGAATTTATTAGTTCCTTATTTTAGCCTTAACTCACAGTTCTTACTCAAAACTCACAACTCTCTGATTGACCGGCCCACTTGTTAATTGCAGGCATGGTGTTAATTAGCTTATTGGACCTGGGGTTTCTTTTTCTACTTCAGCTTTTTGTCTAGCCTGTGTTCCTAATGAGCTTTGCTTTCTTTGGCAGCTGTGTACTCCAGTTTTCTGCAGGATACACTTTTCTTGTCAAGGTGTTCAATCCTCATTTTTCAAAAAGTCTTTGTACACATAGAATCCAAGTCCCATTTGGCAGTTCTAGGAATCTTCTGGTGCAGCATCCTGGAAAGTAAGCCTGTGAATGCATCTTTTAGGGCATTGGCATTTTATCACTTCATCTTTGTGAAGTATCCAAACACTTTTGGGATAGAATTTTTCATTTTGTTTTATTTATCCAGAGTTCTTTTGTACACTTCTCCAGTTTTCTATGTACAATAAAGATTGTTGGAATTCGTTAGGAAGCAAGATATGGATTTTTTTTTTTTTTAAAGAATATTCTAGATAATTCATAAGACCCCACTGGGAAAAGATGTCTCTGGAAAAACATTCTAGTAATTGATTTCAGCCTACTGATTTTTTAAACTCAATTCCAAATTAATTTAATCTCTAAAACTAGAAGTAAACTTTTCCCATTTAACATGAATATATTTAAAATTCAAGATTAATTTGGAAAAGATAATGGAAAAACGCCAGAAGTAGAACAATGAGGATAATGTATGAGTTAAAGGTATTAGAGAGTTAACAAAGAGGCCACTAAGATTTAGAAGCCCAAAGAACTGGAGCTGGAAGAGTTTAACTTATGGTTTTGGGTTAAGATTTTGTCAAGGAGAAGATTATGACTTTCTGTTTAAAAATACTGAAATAAATCAAATGGTGCTTAATATTATAATAAATGTTGGATGAATAGCCTGTGAAATAAGGGTTTTATTTTCCATAGCTTTAAAGTAAGAGTTCTTTGTAGATAACGACATTCAATTACTTATTCATTCAATGTATGATTAGTGAGCCCAATGAGCACTAACTGTTCTATGTTCAGGGAATAAAGTACAGAACAATAGAGAGCAGACTCCTGTCAGTGAGGAGCTGCATTGTAAGCTAGACTGACAACAAACAAGCAAATAAATAGGTTCATAATAATAGGTCAGGTATGGAAAGAAAAGTATAGCATGGTAAGAGAGTAAAGAGGTTGTAGACAGGTGATGGGAAGGGCTTCTTTAAGGAAGACAGAGAAGAGACCTGTGTATAGGGAGGGGAAGAGCTTCCCAAGCAGGCAACAGCCAATAAGAGGCTTATTTTACTTCATGTTCTGTTCAAGGTACAGTGTTCCTGGAATAGGCAAGAAGTTAATATTATTATGCTAAAGAAAAAAGTAAAAGTAAAGCAGAGAAATAACCAATAAAAATCCTAGATTTATTCAGAAAATTAATGGCAGAGCTGAGATTCAATACTGATCTTGTTTCATCCACTTATATGCCTATCCATAACCTGTTTCTCAGGATTTGCTAAAGATGCATCCCATAACAGTAAATGCTTGTGGCTAAACAGACAAGCTTATCCCTCACATGCTTTCTGCTTTGATTATATATCAGGTTCTCTCTACTAACATCAAATATGATAGTTTGTAAAACTTGCCACTGGTTCTTGTTCTGCCTTTTTGCCTAACGGCCTATGTGATGTAAAAGCTCAAATTAAATTGTAGTCTGTGGACTATATAGACTACTAGGGCAAAAGCTGCAGTGAGAGTTTGAATCATTATCTGAAAAAATACAAATAATCATATGCTCACACCTTGAGTTGCAGTGAGCACATTATAGTGCCAATTGCGTCACTCTTTATTTTTCTCAATGGAAGAGTAGTTTGACCAAGGTTAAATGGAGCTGCTGTTGAGCTGCAGTATAGCTAAATAAATTGCCAAGCACTCTTTGAACTCTACTGAACACCCATGGTTTTCACATAGTCATAGTCTCTCTCTTACTACCAGTACTTTTTCCTCCTCAAATCATCCAAGGAGCAGACTTCCTGTCGTGTCTAATAAGGAGTTCACAGTTCATTAACACAAAGCCAACTTGTTCTTGAGCATATGGTCAGTATCACAGAGCAGGAACATCAGCAATATTATTTTCAAAAGGGAATCTAAAGAAGCGCCTCTCGGTAACTCCACACGACAACAGCTCAGTGTCACCAGTGCTGTGAGCAATATAGGAGTTAATCTGTTCATTCATATTAATGACCGACATGTAGCACTGTAGTCATTCATAATTCAGGTGGGGGATGGTTCACACACAACCTTCCATTCTACTCTGGAAGCCAACAAATAGTAGTACACGATTAGCATGATTCCCAGAGCCCTGAGCCAACTCAGGGATATGACTGTGAAGTTTACAGAGGTGCTGAAGTTCTAGGAAGAAGGATTCCTTCAGCTCTCACCAACTATCATTCAAAGAGAAAAAATTACTTTGTAAAAGAAAGAAACTTGTGCTTTATTATAATTGCTTCTTAAAGGCACACTTCAAGTTGGTTATTTTCTCAATGAATTTTATGAAAAAAATTAGTATTTTATCATAATATTTCAGTGTCCTGTTTTGAAGCAAAGCAAAATAAAACCAAAGAATCCCTTTTGAGTAGCTTACAATATTAAAAGTAAAAAGTCAATAAATTAAAACATAATTTTAAAACGGCTTTTGTATTTAAAAAAATTCAGTTTTCCAGGTTACACATATATGTTCACATAGTAAATATGTCACATATTCTTATAGATTTCTTGCCTTTTTTTCAAGGTAGTTAGTTTTTCTCACTAAGTATCAGTGCACCCCCTCCACCCAAGCCAGGGTTCAGAAATTAGGTCCTTAGAGTGTTACTCTAAAGAGTGTGTGAGTCCTAGTCTGGTCTGGACCAGCTAATCTCTGTGGGTTTTCCAATTCTTTGTATTTCTGTATGCATGTAAATATTTATACACGCAAACTTCTAGAAAACGGACACTTAGACGTTTGAGGCTATACAGATGAGCTTTTAGGGGATTTTATAGAATCCTTAACTAGAAACCACAAAACATAGCAAAAATAAGGAACAAATTTTGTTACAATATGGTGCATGAAGTAAGAAAGTATTTTAGAAAATAAAGGGAGCATCTGGAAAGAATGGATGACGACAGTGCTAAAATTAGCTAAGTAGTACCCAAAGGAAAGAAGGAACAGAGGCGTTCTAGGAAAGGCCAGCTCCATTTCAAAAAGCTTCACGAACAAGCACATGCCTAGCCTATAAATTTTTCCTGTGATGATGGGCATTTCCTTTACTGCCCTCCTATTTAAGTTTCCATGTAAAAATATCCTGATAAGAAAGGAGTCATTATTTACATGTCCATATCTCACTATGTTATGACTCTGATTCCCTCTAGTAACCACACTTTGGTTATAATTGAAGCACTTTAGAAATTGTAGTAACTCTTTATAGTAAATACCTGATCCTAATGGCCTAGAGAATTCGTATTACAATATCCCCAGAATCCACATGTAGGTTTCTCAGTAGTTTAAAAATCTGTACAATAAGGTCCTATTGGACATTCAGTTAGTAAGTTGTATTAGTTGTTGTTGTTGTTATGTGCCATCGAGTCGGACCTGACTCATAGCGACCCCTCCTTGAGTTTCCGAGGCTGTATCACTACGGAAGTAGATTGCCCCATTTTCCTTCCGAGGAGTGGCTACTGGGATCGAACCTCCAGCCTTCTGGTTAGTCAAATGCCTTAGGCACTATGTCACCAGAGCTCTGGGTGGACTCAAATCTCTGACCTTTCATTTAGCAGCTGAGTATGTTAAGCGTTTGCACCAGCCAGGGACTCTAACTTCCTAATAACAACAACAACAAAAAAAAAATCCAAACCCACTGCCATCAAATTGATTTTGACTCAGAGTGACCCCCATTTGATTTCCAAGGCTGTAAATCTATACCGAAGTAGATTGGTTCATCTTCCTGCAGAACAGCTGAAAGCCCCATCAGTGCCTCTAGCAGAAAGTGTCCACCCAGGTGTTCACAGGCTTTTTCTTTCTCAAGGGATTTCCTGTTAGGAAGAACATATCTGCCTTCCTTCAGAGACAGTGAATGAAGCGTAGACACATTGCTGCACTTCTAAAACTTGGAACATGGTTGAAAGATGGAGATTCTATTTCTTCAAACAAGCATGAATTGTAATACCCAATGTAATAACTCCAAGGAGTGGAGTATTATTTCTGTTGATCTTAGTGTAGCATCACATTGATAGCTAGGGCAAGAAAATAGATTATGAAATGTTTAATAAATTGTTGGGAATGAATTTTGAAGATCAATATAAAATATATATTCATCATATTAATTTTAGAAGTCTAGAGAGAAAACAATGAGAATATGCTGAATTGGTTATTAAAATATATATTGGGAATGACATTATAATATTTATATATTTTGATCACTCCAGGCAATGCTGATCCTGAAGGCCAGGGTTACTGCCAAGCAGGATTTAGTCTGGATTTTTATAAGGTGACTTTTCTTTCTTATCTTATAGCTGTTATGTAATATCATTTTGTTTATTTGATTTTTTTCACCTTCTGCTTCTCACTCCCACACCTCCCCAAAGAAAAACAACAAAATAACCTTTAGCCTGTTCTAGCAACTTTTTTTTTCTATTTGCACTTTACTTTTGTTAAAGTAACCCATACTAATATATGCACATGGTAGCCTACTAAATAGTACAGAAATACATAGATGAAAAGCATCCGTTTTTCTTCTCATCCCTCATTTTTAAGTGAAACTCTCTGAAAAACTCACTAAAGAAATGTGTTTCTATAAAAGATCACAAGAATCTATAAATTGTTTTAACCCTTACCCCAAATCGAATTAGTTTTACTGTGAAAATTCATATATTTTTATACAAAATTAGAAGACAGAGGTGCTTCATAAGAATGTAGGGGGAGAGATTCATCAACATATGAACTAAAAAATTTCATCAAGGCATGAGCTGTTTTACCCTCTAGCCTTGTCTGTTCCTGCCCCCACTCTTACTGAAAGTTAAAGATGCTGGGTATGAGGCTGTAAGTGGAAGAGAAAATGTTTATGTCTACAAGTCTGGAGTTTTTGTTCTCTCTCCTGGGAAGGGGGTGGGTTACAGATGTATGAAAAAAAAAAAAGTAGGCATTACTGTGGCCTTGAGATAAATTAGAACCGAATTTTCTTTTATTGCAAAAGCTCAAAAGACCATGTCTGCTAAATTGCACAGCATTAAACTTGTAGATGTTTTGTTTACCTGAGACAGTGCCAAAAAGCTGAATTCATATATGTTTCAAGGGGGAGAATACAACTTCCCTAAATAGAGTCAAGTTAAAATTATTTAAACTGGTAACACACCTAATAACCAACAGCAAAAAGGGAAAGAAAATAATTAACCCCCATAACGCAGATTATAGAAAAGCAGGAAAAAAAACCCAAACCCACTGCATGGAATAATTCCAACTCATAGCAATGCTATAGGATAGAGTAGAACTGCCTCATAGAGTTTCCAAGGCTGTAAATTTTTATGGAAGCAGACTGCCTATACTCAATTCACTGTCCTCGAGTTGAGTCCAACTCATAGCAACCCCTCCTTGGGTTTCCAAGGTGGTATCTCTATGGAAGCAGATTACCCCGTCTTCCTTCCAAGGAGTGGCTGGTGGGTTTGAACCGCCAGCCTTCTGGTTAGCAGTCAAGTGGCTTAGGCACTATGCCACCAGAGCTTCCTGACTGCCTATGTTGTTGTTGTTGTTGTTATGTGCCATCGAGTCGGCCCGACTCATAGCGACCCCTCCTTGGGTTTCCGAGGCAGTATCACTACGGAAGTAGAATTGCCCAACCTTCCTTCCGAGGAGTGGCTGGTGGGTTTGAACCGCCAGCCGTCTGGTTAGCAGGCAAGTGTCTTAGCCACTATGCTACCAGAGGCTCTTTTTTAAAATTTCTTTTTTATGTTAGCAAAGTGTTATAACAATGCTTATTAATAATACTTTATCATACTTTAAAATTGTTTTCTCCCCCCAATTATTGTTGTTGTCTTTGTTTCATAGAATGGAGATCTTATAGTAGGAGGACCTGGAAGTTTTTATTGGCAAGGTATGTTCTATTTGCAGAGAAGAAATGCATATTGGTTATTACTAACAGGAAGCTGAAGCAGAAGTAACTCAAATATTAATTTTTTATTGCTTTAATTTTCCATCCATATTTAAAGTTTCTCAAATGAATGAAGCATTATTTCAATTTACATTTTATTATGTAAATAATCTTCTCAAATACTACTGAGACTTAGCAATTCATTTATCCAACAAGTGTTTATTAAGGATATGGCAGACTTTGTGCTAGATGCTGAGAATACAACAAAAAGTGAAAGCAGGCTTTGTTCCTACCTTCATGGAGTTTGGTATCTGGTATACAGGCATTCATTGAATATTCACACAAGTACATGGGAAACCGCAACCATGATACAGACTCTGAAGGAAGGGTTTATCGTGATAGAGCCATGAAAGTAAAGAGGCTTCTCCAGGTTGGCTGCATACAGGTGTGTGCTTTGTGCATTGAACATTGACCCAGGTGGAGCTGAAGCACAACCTGTGCCCTGCTTACAGAGCTATGAACCCACCCAGTACAGGACAGCATCTGTCTAGAGGGGATGAATTTTTCTAATTCAGTAGCAGCCAACTAGTTAGGAAGCAAGGAAGCAATCCTGAACTGAGATCTGAACCTTAAATAACAGTTAATTAGGCAAAGAGGGGAAGGGCTATGTGCAAATTTTCCTTGGCATAGAGCAACACTTTATGAGTATTTTATGAGTGAGGGTGAGAATGGAGGAAGGCAGTGTGTCCAGAGTTAAGAGAACAAGGCTGGAGTGGCCTGATGGACTGTAGTCTGGCAGTCCATGGGATAAATGGTTTTTGGCAGGCCAAGAGATAATTAGTTTTGTCTTTATCCTATGAGCAATGGAAAACTACTGGTGGATTTTAAGAGTCTAAAAAGATAATTTTTCCTAGAGTAAGAATTTGTTTTTTTCTCCTAAGAATAATGAGAAATCATTGGAAAACTTTTTGCATGATGTGGTATGATTAAATTTGTGTTTTGCAAAGAGTACTCTGGTTGTAATATGGAAAATGAATTGGAAGCTGACCAATATTAGTGAAGTGGTTATAAAGTTATAATGTGCAAAGATACGGAGTTAGAAAGCTAAAAGGGAAGAACACACTAGCCATCTCTCAAGCTGAAGGAACTGAAGAAAAAATTCAAGCTTTGAGTTGCAATATTGAAGGATTCTATGGGCATAATATTGAATGACACAGTAAATATCAAAGGAAGATGAAAGGAACACATAGAATCACTATACCGAAAAGAATTCTTGATGTTTAGCTATCTCAGGAGGTAGCATATGATCCAGAACCAATGATATTGAAGGATGACGTCCAAGCTGCACTGAAGGCATTGGTGAAAAACAAGTCTCCAGGGATTGACAGAATGCCAGTTGAAATGAATGCAGTGCTGGAGGTGCTCACTTGTCTGTGCCAAGGAATTTGGAAGATGGCTAAGTAGCCAACCAACAGGAAGAGAATCATATTTGTGCCTATTCCATCAGGATACAAAAATTATTGAACAATATCATTAATATTACCTGCAAGTAAAATTTTGCTGAAGATTATTTAAAAAAGAGGAAGAAAAAAGTTGCTGCAGTACATTGAAAGGGAACTGCCGGAAATTCACTCTGAATTCAGAAGAGGATGTTGAATGAACAATATCATTGTTGATATCAGTTGGATCTTAGATAAAAGCAGAGAATACCAAAAAGATGTTTACCTGCATTTTATTGACTATCCAAAGGCATTCTACTGTGTGGATCATAATTTATCAATTTTATTGTGAAGAATGAGAATTTTAGAACACTTAATTCTTTCTACTCATAAAGAACCTGTACATAGACCAAGAGGCAGTCATTTGAACAGAACAAGGGGATAGTACATGGTTTAAAATCAGGAAAGGTGTGTATCAGGGTTATATCTTTTCACCATATTTTTCAATCTGTATGCTGAGCAAATAATCTGAGAAGTTGAACTATGTGCAGCATCAAGATTGGAGGAAGATTATTAACAGTCTGCAATATGTAGATAATACAGCTTTGCTTGCTGAAAACAGAGGACTTGAAGCACTTACTGATGAAGATCAAATGACATATTGCATTGCTCAAACATGCTGCAAAAGATCTCTTAAAAGTGTTAAAAAGCAAATACGTCACTTTGAAGACTAAGGTATATACCTGACCCAAGCTATGGTATTTTCAATTGCCCCACATGCATGTGAAAGCTGGACAAAAGAATAAGGAAGACCAAAGAAGAATTGATGCCTTTAAATCATGATGCTGGTGAAGAATATTAAATATACCATGGATGGCCAGAAGAATGAACAAATCTGTCTTGGAAGAAGTACAACCAGAATGCTCCTCAGAAGTGAGGATAGCGAGACTTCATCACACATACTTTGGACGTGTTATCAGGAGGGACAAGTCCCTGGAGAAGGACATCTTGCTTGGTGAAGTAGAGGGTCAACGAAAAAGAGGAAGCCCCTTGATGAGATGGAATGACACGATGGCTACAACAATGAGCCCTAACATAGTAACAATTGCGAGATGGCACAGGACTAGGTAGTGTTTCCTTTTGTTGTGTATGGGGTTGCTGTGAGTCAGAATTGACTGGGTAACACCTAACAACAACAATGACAGTTGTAAAGTTATTATAAGGTTATAAACTAGTTATAAGTGCATAAGGTAAACTAGTTATGAGGTCAGGTTCTTAAAGTGGTGATGAGCAGCTGGAAAGCAGGAGACAAATATTTAAGAGATACTTAGAGAGGAAATAAACAGCCTCCATGATGGGTTGGATATGGAGATGAGCGAAGGGAGTATGTCAAGGATATTTTTCTGACATTTGCAACTGGGTGGTTGTAAGTGAATGCCACTCATTGAGCTAAATAACACTGGAAGAGAACCAGGTTTGGAGTAGGGTAGAGAGGGACGATTATGAGTTTCTTTTGGATGTAGTAAGTTTAGAAATGTTGAGAATTGAAGTTTTCACGTAAGTATTTAAATGTATGGGATTAAGCTCATAGGAGATATCTAGACTGAAATATTTGCTTCACTATCTAGTGGTTATAACTAAGTGAAGGGTCTGAATGGGATGCCTAAATAATAGAATGAGTTTGGGTATAAAGTTTAGGATACAGATAGCGTAGAATCTGAGAGAGATGAATAAGGTTGAAGGAGGATGACTCTTTGTTTTTCTTTTAATGGAGGAGACCTGATCAGGTTTAAAGACATGAGACAGATCCAGGAGAGGTGGACTTATAATCAAATTTTATATGAAAGCACAGTTAAGTTTAATTAAAATATGTAATTATTAATATCAAATAATTAATATTTGTCTTTAAAATTTCTTTTATAAACAGAAAATGGATATATTTTAAGCAGCAGATAAAATAAAAATTATTTTTATATTAAAAAATATTTTCTTCTAATTCAATTAATTATTTTTTTCCTTAAATTGAAAAACTATCGGATACAGATGATTTGCTGAAAATTAGCCATAGTGAGTACATATGGAAGGATTTGTCTGAGTTAAATAAAATGTTATTTCAGGCTAATTATTATAGTGTTTATAGAAGCAACTAAAGGAAACAAGCAAACAAAATAGGGGATAGGATGGTATTATGCTTTAAACCAAGGCTGAATGCCAGAGAAAATTGGCCAGTTCTACAGAATGGCTCAGAAACTCATGTCTAAGTACAATTGTTTTAGTATCAAAGCTGTCATTTCAGACACAGTCATTTGGAATATTTATGGCTTCATTTTTCTGGTGGTGTTCCATTTTGGACTTCAAATAGAAAAACAGTGGGAATTATGTGGGAATTCCCACCAAAAATAATTTGGCTTTAAAATTAATAACAAATGATAGTTCAGAAGGACTTTTGAAAGCATTTCTCCTAGTTTTCTCCCACAGAGCATGAGATCACATTTTTCCTTTAGATGTCCATATTGAGAATGAGAATGCATGTGAATTGCTAGATAGCTTTTAGATACTTGCCTACCCCAATACAATAATATTTCATGATTTCTGATAGTGACTTTATTTGGGAGAAATTAGCCAAAGTTCTTACCACATCCACACTAGTAACCCTGGATTCCTTTTTACTGAAATTCTAGATCTCACTGGATGTTGCTGCTTTCTATTGTCATAATTTCATGCTCTAAATATACATTTTAGCATTAAAAGTAAATGGCTCAAAGATTGTGTAATTCCTTCCTTTTACTTAGCTATATGTTTTCTGTTAAGTGAGTCACGTGGATTTCACACGACATTTGTACTTGTGGGAACACAAACGTCTTAGACTGCCAATGAAGACTTTGATTCTAATACCAAATATCTTATTACCCAATCTTGTAACCTTAGAGAATGCACCCACACTCTTTGGGCCTCAGTTTCCCTGCCTGTAAGATGCTATGTTTTGGCTAGATGATCTCTAAGGTTCCTGCTAGCTAAATTATTCTAGAATAAAATTTAATCATGGAACTTTTGACTCCAACTATGTTCACTATTAGATAGTTTTATCATTTGAAGGTGGAGAAGGTATGGTAAAGGTAGAAGAAAGATAGATAAAATTAAATAGTTCATCTTGGTTCATCTCTCCGAATGGAAAGTACTACCCAACTTCAATTAACTACACCTTGCATTTCTAGTGTCAGCTGGGAAAAATCATCAGCTAAAATGAAAGCTACTGCATGATAGTTTTTGAGGGAGACATTCTGGGTCTGCCATGGGAGGGCCTGCCCATTGCATTCATTCAGTTAATGTGTTAATTTGTTTAAACACAGGTCAGGTGATCACTGCCAGTATTGCAGATATCATTGCCAATTACTCATTCAAGGATATTCTAAGGAAATTGGCTCGAGAAAAACAGACAGAAGTGGCTCCAGCTTCTTACGATGATAGTTACCTTGGTGAGATCCATTGCTCAAATTATCTTTGGCTTCTCAAAAGATAAGCATATTAAATGTAGATGCAAATTTTATTCATAACTTGTTGCTATTGTTGATTGTTGCCATTAAGCTGGTTCTGTCTCATGACGAAATTATGTATAACAGAATGAAACAGTGCCCTGATATTATTTGCCGCCTTATGCCAATTTTCTTTTCTTAGTTTAGAGTGGACTAGATTTCTTAATTATCTTTTGTTTTTAAATAAGACTATTGATTCAGTCATTATATATAACCTACATGTTTGAGCAGTTATTTTATAGGCACCAAAACAGTCTCTTGCACATAAATTATTTCATCAGTAGTAGATATTATGTAGTGAGTCCTGGTGGTGCAATGGTTAAAACACTAGGCTGTTAGCCAAGGGTTGGTGGTGCCAATCCACCCAATGGCTCTGCAGGAGAAAGAGCTGTAGATCTGCTGCCATAAAGATCACAGCAAAGAAAACCCTATCGAGTGGTTCTACCCTGTCACATAGGGTGATTGTAAGTCAGAATTGACTTAATGGCACCTGACAACAAAACGACAACAGATACTATGCATTAGAGGGGCTGCTACCAATCCAACAAGAGACTTTGCAATTGTTGAAATGTCCTCAAAATTTATTGTATGTATATTACAAAATGTCATGTCACTACTAATACTTCCCACATTTGGTGCCCTAGTGACATTTCAATTGCTTGATGATAACAAAATTTTAGTTTTATTTTGTCAGCATATTGGCACATCATTGAGCAGCTTAATTACATTTGTCAAAAACTATCTTTAAAGGAAGTAGGAAGTAGGCCTTGCTGGTGATCAGAAACAGCGAAATCTGAGCACAAAAGATATCTTTCAGAGTACCATGTCTGATCATGATGAATCAATAACTCTGAAAGTGCAGGAGCCCCCAAGTACACCTTAAGGTAGACTATGAAGCATTTGTGCTTTGAAAATCAATCTTGAAATCCAATTTTGTGGCTGTGCTTCAACTGAAGATCAATAGTAGAAGATTTACTGTGCTTACAGGATTTAATATAAAGTATTCATGTTTGTCTGATTAATTTTTCCATTTATAGAATTCTGTAGTTTTAGAATGTTTGTAGAGATTTCTGAACAAAGCAGTACTCTGGTAGTTCTTTCATTTTTCTAGATGTAAGTCATTTGTCAAATCTTCAAACCTGTGATTAGTTTTGTTTGATTTTTTAAAACAGGATACTCAGTTGCTGCTGGGGAATTTACTGGAGACTCTCAGCAAGGTGAGAGACATTACGGAGTTAATATCATTTATAAAGCCTAGGAAAATGGCTTTTAGGGGTGGGAAGGAGAAGGAAAGTGGAAGTCATTATTTAGGGGGCACTACTGGCGGTTCAAACCCACCAGCCACTCCTCGGAAGGAAGGTTGGGCAATCCTACTTCCGTAGTGATACAGCCTCGGAAACCCAAGGAGGGGTCGCTATGAGTCGGGTTTGACTCGATGGCACATAACAACAACAACAACTAAGTTCCTGTTAAGGAGCTCTGGTGGCATAATTGTTAAGGCATTTGCCTGCTAATCAGAAGCTCAGTAGCTGCTCTGTGGGAGGAAAATGAGTTAATCCACTTCTATAAAGATTTGAGTCAGAATCCACTGTTAAGTTTCTATTAAGGGTGATAGAAAAATTTGAAAGTGAAAAGTGGTGATCATTGCACAAATTGATGAGCCTAATTAATGTTGCTGAATTTTACATGTAAAAATTGTTGAAATGGAAGATGTTTTGTCATATATATTTGTACCACAATTTTAAATAAATAACATGAAACTCCCCACCGAATTCCAGCCCAAACTCAAAATGACAGAACTAACTAATCCCAATTCTCATATATGCCCTTACCTTTCTGTCTTCTGTACTTTACTTTGACCATCTTCTGTATTAAAAAATCCTCTGATCCTATATCCACCCTCATCTTTCAGTGTCCGAATGTTGTTTTTTTTTTTTTTAAGGCCAGTTTCAAATAGTATTTCCTCCAGAAATCTTTCCTTAGCATCATTCTGTAAACTCCTCTGTCATCTAATTTTTCCTTCCTTTAAGGCATTTATCATTTGTTCATTCATTTGCAACATATATTTTGAGTGCCTTAAGTCAGGCACTGTGCTAAGTGTTGAGTACACAGAGAGGAACAAATGCTCCTTCATCTCAGAGTCTCTGATCTAGTGGGGCTAACAAGCATAAATAATAATTGCACAACTAGCAATTAGAAATTGTAGTAAGTGGTAGGATAACATCTAACCATAGAAAAAAAAAAAGAGCTTTGATGATGAGTTAACATTTAAAAAGAACATGAAAGGATGGAGGTAGGCCAGACATAGGAGCAGACTTTCACATTGCGAGAAGTGTAGAAGATTGAAATCTCCAAGATGACAGTTTGACTGTCAAGTCTTTAAGAGTGAAAGTGAGATGACATAGGGTTAAGAAGGGAGGCAGGTGTAAGATCATGCCAAGTCTTATAGATCATGGAAACCAAAACCAAACCCACCATTCTCAAGTCCATTACGATTCATAGTGGCCCTATAAGACAGAGTAGAACTGCCCCATATGGTTTCCAAGACTAAATATTTACAAAAACAGACTACCTCATGTTTCTCCTGTGAGAAAGCCTTTATTTAGCAAGTTCGAACCACTGATCTTTTGGTTAGCAGCCAAATACTTTAACCACTATGACACCAGAGCTTCTTAGATTATGGAATGGACTCTGGAATTTATTCAGAATATAGTGGAACTCATAAAGAACTTAAGCAAATGAGTAAACATAATCCAATTATGCTTGTGATCTAAAAAAAAAGAAATCAAGCTGGTTTTTTTGTGGAGACTTGTTTGGGGGTGCCATAGGAGAAGATTGGTATTACTTTTAGTAACTTTATGTTCATGTTTAGTTCCTTGAAGGCAAGATCTTTGTGTTCTTATTTATCTCCTCCATAAAGACTAGACCATGTTTTGCATGGAATAGATTTATATGAGTGGCAGCCTGATAGAAGGAAATGAGTTTTGTCTTTGGAGTTAAGGCCCACATAGGTTCAAATCCTGACTTCACTGATTCTGTGTCCTTAGGGTATGACAAGGGAGCTCTGGTAGCATAGTGGCTAAGGCACTTGACTGCTAACCAGAAGGCTGGAGGTTCAAACCCACCAGCCCCTTCTTGGAAGGAAGATGGGGCAATTACCTCCATAGTGATACTGCCTCGGAAACCAAAGAAGGGTCGCTATGTGTCGGGTCCGACTCAACGGCACATAACAACAACAGGGTATGACAAACTCATAATACTTAACTCAGTAGATTGTAGGGTATGACAATCTCATAATACTTAACTCAGTAGATTGTTCTGAAGATTGTATGAGATAAAATATGAAGAAATACCTATCATTTACAAGATGTAAATGGTAGCTTCTACTGTACCAGTAATAAATGTTTACTAACCGTGTTAATCATCCATCAGTATTTCCCAATTCTCTTCTTTCTTTTATTTGAACACTAATTTCTTTAAAATATAAATGTTTTAACTAATTCACAAATAATTCAATTAAGAGTGAATAAAATATGACCATCTTTAGTGTAAACAGAGATTTTATATTGGTTCTATAATTAAGTAAAGGTTGAAAATAACGTGATACCTCCCTTGAAAGAACACATTCTTTTAAACTCAAGATAATTCTTAAAGGATCTCTCTATTATTTTTACTTTAAGCCATTGAAAAATGGCACAGTGGTTAAAGCATCCAACTGCTAACCAAAAAGTCAGCAGTTTGAATCCACCAGCTGCTCTGTGGAAGAAAGCTGGGGAAGTCTGCTTCTGTAAAGGTGAACAGCCTTAAGAAACCCTATAGGGTAATTCTACTCTGTCCTATAGGGTCACTATGAGTCAGAATCAACTCAATAGCAGTGGGTTTGGTTTTGGGTTTATTGTTGTGGTTAAGACCCTGGTGTGTGGAACCAGACTCCTTGGTTTTAAATACTAATAATTATCTAACCACTAACTCTGGGAACTTGGACAAGTTATCTAACATCTCTGTGTCCCTTAAATCCTAAAATTTAAGAATGATGGTGATAATAGTATAATCTACCTCATAGGGTTCTTGTGAGGATTAAATGTGTTAACCCTATATAGACATAAAACATAGTGCAATGCCATACGTATATTAAGAATTATTAAAATATTTGCTATAATGAGGAAGAACACTTGGATTAGGGGCCATGAGAGATAGAATTAAATAACTTGTAGTTTTAGAAAAATCAAGGCTTACAATCATTCACTTAGTGATTTAGCAAAAGAAAGTGAAAAATGTGCCAAATAAGCTTTAAGCATGGCATCAGAGATCTTATTGGAAAGCTCTAAAGAATAGCATGGGTTCTGACCCAGTGAAGATAGTGATGATATACAATAGCACATCATAGGGAAAGATAGTAGAAAGAATCACAATTTTCTATCAGATTGCAGAAATATTAAGAAAATGTATCCAAGTTTTAAATTATTCAAGGATATCTGAAGTAAAGGCACTATCAAAGAACATTATTTATTATTATTATTTTTTTTTAAATTGTGATTTGGGTGAAGATTCACAAAGCAAATTCACTTTCCATACAGCAGTTTACATATACTTTGTCTCATGGCATTGACCACAGTTTACCACAATGCAACAGCTCCCCTCCCACTTCCTCCCCATAGTTACCTCTTCCCTGTCTCCATCCCTCCATGGACTCCTGCCCCCTGAGCTGTCTCCCTGTGCATAAGCAGCCCTTCTTTCTCCCATGATTGTTCTCTCCAAAAAGAGTATCTACTTGAGGTAAAGGTCAAAGAACATTATCATCTGTTTATCCTCAAGCCAGAGTCCAAAGCTATGTTCACTATTTACTTAGATAAGGGCATGACAATCCTATGAAAATAGTGAACAACTTGATGTTCTCTGGATGAGAATTTCTTAATACAATTTCCTTGGACTGCTGTTGGGGGGCTGGTATATGGATGGGCTTCATTGGATATGAACTCTTAGAATTTATATGCAGGATTGTTTATGTACAATGGAATACTATGCAACACTAAAGAATAATGTAGAATCTGCAAAACACTGCATAATGTGGATGAACTTGGAGGACATTATGCTGAGTGAAATAAGTCAATGACAGAAGGACAAATATTGTATTAGCTTGTTATTGTGAAAAGTCAAGTAAAGGTTTCTATATGGAAAGAAATTTTCTTTTTTGGTTACCAGAGGTGGGAGGGGAAAGGAGGGCACACTGTTAGATAGGTAGAGACAAGTATTGATTTGGGTGAAGAGAAGGGCAGTGTACCAAATGTGAGTGATCAACATGGTGGCATTGAGGAAGAGGAAGACATAGAGAGGTACATGGGAGATACAGACAACAAAGATGAACCCTTTTGCACACACAATACTGCGTTGTCAGTGAAGGCAAACATGGATATACAGGTGGATAGATGGGTGGTCAGGCTGAACTATTAGGTATGCCTGCAGTGGGGAATGAGCTCAAGACCATGTATAGGGTTGGGAGACAATGTTTCTACAAGTTGGTATGTTCTATAAGAATTCCCAGGTATATAGTAGAGCTGACAAGGGACAAGGTTGTAGTCACTTCTTGGCCACAGCCAGCTACCCACAGGGAGTGAGTAGTTGGACCTGTGGGCTCAGGACCATAGTCGCAGGGGACATCAAGCTCAGTTGGCATAACGTACTACACAAAGCATTGCTCCACCTCCTACTTTGGCAAGTAGCAACTGGGATCTTAAAAGCTTGCAAGCAGCCATCTAGATGCAATTATAGGTATCTCCTTGTCCAGAGCAAAGAAGAATGAAGAAAACTAATGGTGCATGGAAACAGTTAGTCCAAGTGACTGGTACATTATGTGATCCTCAGTCTATATGACTATGAAACCAGAAGAACTAGATGGTGCCCTAGATGGTTTCACTAGAGTGAAAGCTGGACAAATCAGAGTAAGAGGTTTAACCTCAAACTCACATGCAGACCTGAGAAGCCAGCCTTATGTTAGAGGCAAAGACTAAAGGCAGTGGATAATGAGCAAAGATAAAGCTCAAAGTATGATTTTTGTTCTTCTGTTGCCCGTAGAGTAAGTAAAACTAAATGGAAAAGCAAATGCAAAATCCTAACTTCACATTTCCAGCCCTCTATAAAATGATTAAAGTTCCTAGGTGGTACAAGCAGTTTGTACTTACCTGGTAACTGAAAGATTGGCAGTTTGAACCCACCCAGAGATACTACAGACTAAAATCCTTGGCAATCTGCTTCCATAAAGATTGCAGCCAAGAAAACCCTATGGAGCAGTTCTACTCTGTAACACCTGAGGTTGCCATAAGTCAGAATCCATTAGTGCCTAAGGCACTTGACTGCTAACCAGAAGGCTGGAAGTTCAAACTCACCAGCCACTCCTTGGAAGGAAGGTTGGGCAATCTACTTCCATAGTGATACTGCCTCAGAAACCCAAGGAGGGGTCGTTATGAGTCGGGTCCTACTCGATGGCAGTGAGTTAATAACCAACATGATGGTTATTGATTAAAAAATGATTTGGAAACAGATATGGTAATGGTTGCACAATGTAGTGAACACAATTAATCATTGAATTGCACATGTGAAGAATGTTGAAATGGCAAATGCTTTGTTACATATATATTTATCACAGTTAAAAAAAACCACTGTCTTTATCAATGATCTGTTATATAGCTAAAATATATATTGCCCCTCTGAATGACTATGTTTATCCCCAGAATTGGTGGCTGGAGTTCCAAGAGGAGCACAGAACTTTGGATATGTGAGTACTGAGACTATATTATATGGTATTTTCTTGTATATGCAAAGAAATGTATTGTTTGATTTTTCTTTTAAGTCTTTTTAAATACCATTTAATGTAAGAGTGACTCTAATGAGCCCCTCCTATTGATTTGTGCTGTTTGCTTACTAAAAAGGAAGGGCACTCCATTAAAAAAAATCATCTTTGGGAGCTCTAGTAGCATAATGCCTAAGGCACTTGACTGCTAACCAGAAGGCTGGAGGTTCAAACCACCAGCCTCTACTTGGAAGGAAGACTGGGCAATCTACTTCTGTAGTAACACCACCTCAGAAACCCAAGAGAGGGGGTCACTATGAGTTGGGTCCAACTCGATGGCAGTGTGCTGCATTTGTTTCTACTTTTTGATTTATCCAGCAATCTCTATTGTTTATTTTATATTACATGATAATTTTAAAATTAAAAAAAATTCTCCAATTCTATGTTGAATGACGTAACCTCTCTAATTTCTATGATTTCAGGTTTCAATCATTAACTCTACAGATATGACCTTTATTCAGAATTTCACTGGTGAACAGGTAAGACCATTTTAACATCAAATAATTCATGTCATAGTAGTATACTATATTTAGTTCAAGAAATATTTATTGAGCCCTGGTGGTGCACTGTTTGAGCACTAGACTGCTAACCGAAAGGTTGGCAATTTGAACCTACCAGCCCATTCCACAGGACAAAGATATGGCAGTCTGTTTCTGTAAAGATTTCAGCCTTGGAAACCCTATGGGACAGTTCTACTCTGTCCTCTAGGGTCATTATGAGTTGACATTGACTTGACAGCAATAGTTATATGCTAGAAACTGTTCTTGGCACTGGGGATATAACAGTACATAAGATAGGCAAGATCCCATCTCTTGCATAGCAGAGGAGCAGGGGCCATAACAAGTAATTAAGAAACAGATACTCATGATAATTTCAAATACTGGTAAGTGATATAAAGAAAATATAACAATTATATACCATGAGGCTGTGTGGCATGAGAGCTCTCATATGATAAGGGGAACCTCTGAGATGGCAACATCTGGGCTGAGGTGTGAATGACGAGACAAAGCCCACCATACCATCTTGTCCAGAATGTTCCAGGCAGAGGCAACAGCTGATACAAGGTCTTTAAATAGCCAGCTGGGTCTCTCTGAAGAGCAGCAAGAAGGCCAAGGTAGCAGTTAGCAAAAGTCGGAGGTAGGAGCTGAGGATGGGAGAGGACATGTGAGCCTGTCTAGGAATGTGGATGTATTCTAATTGCAGTCGAAAGCAGTTTTGTGTTGACATCAAATTTTTAATAGTATGGAAATATGTGAAGATACTGAGATAAGATATGGAGGAGAGGAGGGACAGTTGCAGAAAGAGCATGGGCTTCAGAAGTAGACAGATCAGGGTTCCCATCCCTATTGCACCACTCATGAATTGTGTGACCACAAGAAAATCACTTAACTTCTCTGAGCCCCATTTGCAAAACAAGAATGAAACATCTAACTTCCAGTTTCCCTTAGAGAATGAAAGGAATCCAGAGGATTGTAAATTACTTAGAAGAGTTCCTGACTAGAAATGCAACAAGTAAGAAACTCCTCAAGAAATATTAATTCCATCCTATCCTCTTTCCTTTCCCCTTCCTTTCAGTTAAGCAAAAACCACAAATATCCCCTTTGCCATTAAATCTACCATTAGTTATACATGTAAAATAAATGTGTGTGCCTACAATTGTCATAGGAGCCCTGCTGGTGTAATGGTTTAGCACTCAGCTGCTTAACTGCTAACCAGAAGGTCAGTGGTTCAAACCTACGAGTGGCTCCATGAGAGAAAAGACTTGGAGATCTGTGTCAGTAAAGATTACAGCCTAGGAAACTTATGGGAGAAGTTCTACCCTGTCATATAAGGTCACTGTGAGTTGGGATCAACCCGCTGGCACACAACCACCACAACATAATGATCATAAGCTATTTCTTATTAATTTCAGCAATATATAGATTCCTGGTCTCTAAATATAAATCTAAATAAAAGTAAAGTAAAAATAGAAGATCAATGAACTTGTGTTTATAACTCTTATGAAATAGTTTGAGATTTATTTACAAACAAAGCTACAGATTTAATTTAAAATTAAATAAAAACAAAAATAGGAAACAAGAAACCACAAACTAGAAACATTAATTTCGACAGATGATGTTGCTTTGCTGTAGTAAATTGCTATTCAAAGTGAAACTCTGGTACTGGTGGCCAGTGGGTAGTCAGTAAAATGTCATCTACTAGAAAGTATGGCTGATGGAAAGCAGGGTCTTTTGGCTATTTTGTTTACTCTATTTGCACTGCCAGAACAAGGTCTAGCAACAAAATAGGTGCCAGGTGCCAACTGTTCTTTCTTGAGGGAATAAATGCACAAATTACCAAGGGTCATGCAATCGCTCAGTTCACCCACCTCTTTTCTCTATTCCAACCATACACAGTGAAATACTTATTTCTGGTACGGCATCATTTGGCCTTCATGCAGAGGAAATGCATCATTTGTGTATTAAGCCTGCCTCTGTTCGTTTCTCCAAACCCAAGGAAAAGTAATATTCATGCCAAATAGATCTGAAACTCAAACACAAATAGCACTGAAATTTTCTAGTGAGTGGTTATGCAGATGATCCAACATGTGTCTAGCAATTTTTCAATGTTATTATCAAAATGAATACACACATATATCTATACACACACACACATACACACAAAACTTTGTAGAGCCCAATGTCTGCAAAGAGTAGATCTTTCAGAATCCTGAATTGTAGAGATCCAAGTTCGAGAATCAGATTTATTCAAGTGAAAGAAAACAAGGGCGCGGATCATTTTGATAATATTTGCAATGTCCTTTATACTTTAATTTGAAAGTAGTTGTGTTTTCTTTTTTTTCTTAATAACTCCATTTCTAAGTTATTTTTTTTAATAATTTCACATTCAAAAATAATTGCACATTTTACACTGGACATTAGCGGCCAACACTGAGCTCCTGTCTCTTTCAAAGTTTACTCTTTGCTCCTTCTTTATTATACATTTTCCTTGAGAAGGCAGGGAGAATTCAAGGGCAGATTACCCAACAGCAAGGTAAACACAATTTACTTGTGCTTACTTACTAATCTGTAGTGAATAATTTCACAGTTTTTACCACATTAAAGTGTGAAATTCTTCACTACAGATTAGTAAGAAAGCACAAGTAAGCCCATGCTTACCTTGCTTACTGAATACTCTGTCCCTGTCAAGGATTATAAGTTTAAAAAGAGGCTTTGATTCTAAAGGAAGGTGCTATGGGGTTGGGAGAGAGACAGACCCTGCCATGTAGAAGCAAAATCTTTGATACAGTTAAAAAATGTGAAATTGTTCACTACAGATTAGTAAGCAAGCACAAGTAAGCTTATGCTTAACTTGTTTCTTGGATTATCTGACACTGGTTCTAGTTAGAAAGATCTCTTGGCAGAAAATTGTTAGATGCTGTATCTAACAATAAGAATAAACAGAGTTAACAGAAGAATGAAGAAAATCAAAGACACAGGAAACAATTAGTCCAAAGAACTAATGGAGCACTTGACCCCAGACTTGGCTCTGAGACTAGAAGAACTAGATGGTGCCAGGCTAACACTGCTGACTGTCCTAAAAGAGATCACAGTAAGAGGTCCCAGACGGAGTAGGACAAAAATGTGGAACCAAACTTAAAATCTTAAAAAAAGACAAGGCTTACTGGTTTGATGAAGATTGGTGGAACCCCTGAGTCTGTGGCCTTTAGATACCTTCAAGCTAGGAACTGAACTTAACCCTCATGACTCAACTGGCATCCAAATGATAGACAAAAAAAAAAAAAACAACTCACTGCTATCAAGTCGATTCTGACTCATAGCCACCCCCTTTGGGTTTCCAAGGAAACCACCAACCTTCTGGCTAGCAGTCAAATGGCTTAGGCACTATAGACCTATAAAATAAATAGTAATATCTGGAGGCTCTGATGGTATAGTGCCTAGGCTGATGGTTCAAACCCACCAGCCATTCCTTGGAAGGAAGTTTGGGCAATCTACCTCTGTAGTGATACCACCTCGGAAACTCAAGGAGGGGTCGCTATGAATTGGGGCTGACTCGATGGTAGTGCATTTAGTTTTGCTTGGTTATGCACTCATTACAACAATCAGATGAGATCAAGAGGACAGAATGTGAGATCAAGAGGATAGCATTTTCCCAGGGATAGAGCTAGGAAGATGGAAGAGGATGGGAAGGAAGAACCAAGGGAAGAATTGGGCATAGGACATAGGGAGGAAGTGGGAAGAAAGCTGTTACAGTGTGGGGATTGCAGTAAATGTCATAAAACAGCAAGTGTATGGATTGCCGAATGGAAAACCAATTTGCTCTGTAAATTTCCACCCAAATCACGATAGAAAGAAAATATTGAAGAAGAAAAGTTATATAAAATCTCACCAGCTTTTTAAATGTCTTGTTATAAAAGACTAAGAAAAATTATGTTTATATTTGTGCAAGTATTCTTATAACTTAGTACACTAAATTATAGTATATTCTTTCCAAAAAGAAATTGGGCAGTATGAATTTAAAAAAAAAGAATTAACCAAGATCTTAATGACATGATTAAGTAATTAGGAGAAACAGATCCCCAGGTAGCCCTATGCAGCACATGGTGAACTAGCTAGGAATAATAGAAAGCCCTCTGTAGTACAAGCCACCCACAAGAACTCACTAATGTGGGGAAAAATTAGACCCACTAGTCCAGTGTGTGTGTATGTGTGTGTGCCTGTGTGTATATTGGGGCACACAACAACTAAAACACTTTAAAAAATTTTGTATTGTGAGTTGGGTGAAAGTTTACAGAGCAAATTCATCTTCCATACAGCAGTTCACATACACTCTGTCTCATGACATTGACTGTAATCTCCCACAATGCAACAGCTTTCCTCCCACTTCCTCCCCATAACCACTTCTTCCCTGTGTCCTTCCCTCCTATGTACTCCTGCCCCCTGAGCTGTATCCTTGTGCATATACAATGCTTCTATTCTCCCATGATTTATCACTCCAAGGAGTCTATCTTCCTCAGGTAAGTGTTCAGCTGATATGCCTGTTATTTGTTTGGCTGGGAGCCACAGGAGTAGGTTCAATTCCAGACCTGAAGGGCAGCTAGGGGCCATAGTCTCAGGGGCTTCACCAGGAACTATCAGACCAGCAAACCTGGTCCCTTTTTTTTTTTTTCTTTATGATTTTGAGTTTTGTTCTACATTGTTCTCCCACTCTATCCAAGATATCCTACACAGATCCCCCTGTGAGTGGTTGACAGGAGTAACTCGGCACCATCTAGTTCTTCTGGTCTCATAGCTGTATAGGCTGAGATCATATGGTGTACCAGTCACTTGGTCTAATTGTTTCCATGCACCATTAGTTTTCTTCATTCTTCTTTGCTCTGAGTGAGGAGAGGCCCATCGTTGCATCTATAAGGCTGCTTTCAAGTTTTTAAGATTCCGGTTGCTACTCACCAAAGTAGGATATACAACAATTTTGGTGT